TATTAATGGGGTGGGGAGAGGGGGAAGAAAAAGTATGTGAAGGAGAAAGAAGGGAGGCGTCAGCAGTAGCCTGTTTTCGCTTACCCGCCCTGCTGTATGCAGCAAGTAAGGCGACCCGGCTGATGGCACCACGCGACGGCCGATGTGGCATGAGTTTATTTGTGTATGTGCAATTCATGGTTGTACGTGGGCTGGGATACTGCCAGGGCGCTCACACCTAGACAGGAGGACGATTAGGGTCCTCAACCAAAGCCTTTGGCTCAAAAGCCTAACCGCATGGCGGGAAATGCAAATGCATTGCCATTTCTACGGAACAAGTCGCCACATGTTCCAACCTTCAACCTGGAGGGCCAGGAGACTTTGTTCGTCAGACCTCTAACGATTGACCAACCTGGTGTGAGAGACTGTGAGTGTCGCGAGACACTCTCCAGTAAGCTCAATGGATCGCTGAGGTGCGCAAACCGTCACATCACGGTAAGGTCCAGTCTCTTCGTGACGGTACGGCATCAAGTCGAGATCTGATTAGTCAACAATCTGGACCCAACAGCCAATCATGACCCAGTATTGGCCAAATACCGGTTGCCAGTGGCGCATCCAGAACGCGTCAGAACTTCCAGAAGGTTATAAGCGCTTTCGCTATATATACGAAGCGCTCTACAACTGTTCTTGACTTCGTTTTGGGCATTAATAGACCTTGTGCACCTTTGGCGGTTGTTTTGACGTGGACGCTAGCTTGGGAGGCTCGGACCGAGAACTAAGCTGAGGAAAATACCGTTACTACAGAGGATCAGACCGTGAAATGGCAACGCGAAAAAAGCAGCTGATTTTGGGCTGAACGCCACTGGATCTCTGCGCTTTCTTGTATGGGTTCAATGTGATTCTACCCGCACATGACACTTTTTCACCATATCTGCCATTTTATGAGCCATTAACAGTTCCGTCCCCTCGACTCTACTCAGAAAGGCTGAAAATCCGAAGTATGTGCAGTGCTTGATGGTGTGAATACAAAATGATCGACCCAAAGCCATCACCTTGATGTAATGTTCGGGTTTGAGTCCTGCGATGATTTCACGGGTTACATTGACTGGAATAAAGTGTAACCATGCCGAGAGGGCTAAAGAGAGCAATAAAGCTAGGAGCAGGGAGATTCTTGCTGCCAATCGTATTAGAAGGCGTTTTTGAGATGAATTTTCCTGTCCTCTGCAATCAGATTGTGGAGGCGGTAAGGTGTTTCTTTCACGCGACCAGCATGTCCACATTTATGGAAGTGGCGATACTACCTTCTCCGAGGAAAAGTTGAAAATCGCACCTTGATCGCTTAATGGTTGAACGTGGCCACGGGCGATTAATCCAAGAGCAAATAAACATTTCCGTGGGCCTTATGCGGCCCCAAACTGATATGCCGTGTGGTGCATAATCAGTAGTGAGACTTCTATGCCTTGTTCCATGCGCCATTGGGCCAGACCAGTCCTCTGCAACGAAGTAGATAAGACTATTAGATTTTCGGCTCTGGACAGGGTCCGCCAAACAATCTTACTGGCCGCTGCTCCTTGGGGCAAAGGTTTGAGGTGGGGTACCTTAACTTCTGCTTGGGTAACCTGGAAATAGCGTTGGCGCCCACATTTTTTTGTCCACCGGTGTTCTCCAGCAATATCTTCCCACCCCACAAGCAAACTTCGCCGGTTCATTTGATTTTCAGTTATATAACCGCTGCCAATTAACACTAAACGATACGACACTTCTTAATTTAGGAAATGCTTTTTATATAGGGACTTCCAACGTCCTTGCTCTACATCGAATAGGAAGACAGGCAATGCTTATCCATATATTGTACCCTTAAATCTGATGTTTTGTCTTCAATATGCACACAATATTCTAGGGTGGTCATGCATCTCAAGGTGCCAGAGACAAACTCGGCTCTTTCAAAGTTTACTCTTTGTGTGTCAAGTCAGCCATGATGGCCAGACTCGTAAAATACAGGGTGTGAAAGTTGCACTCAGTTCCATTGCTGAATGTGCTTTGCGGGATTGGATTCCAGCCAACCATTGTGTTTCCGGCGTTCCGTTATTTAGCTCAATTAAGTTCAGCGCCACCCACCATAAAAACCAGCGCGTGTGTAGGGTCGGCATATGCCCCAATGAACTGCAGCTCTCTGAGGAGGATACTTTATATCGATATTTTTTCTGGGTTCGTTTCCCAAGCAAGAAGCACGCGTTATCATCCATGTGGACGATATGACTGTCCAAGTTGGTCGTCCGAGCTCTTCGAAGTCCTATCTTGACGGTCAATTTGGAGTCGATTCTGGCCGTACAGACAACGGGGAACTACTCCGGTTGTGTGCCGACAACAAACTGTTTCTTGGCGGTACAAATTTCCAACGCATGCACCGTGCAACCGGCATCCACCAAGTGAAACTCAACCATAAGCTCATTTAGATCACGTGGCTAATAGCTACCGGTGGGGAGCCACAACTCAAGACTGACTTTCCTTCTGGGGCATGCTACGTGATTCCGATCACGCTATAGTGCGAACGCGCCTGGTAATTTGCTTTACTTCAGGTGTTTGCAAATCAGCAAGAACCATCCCAATCCACCATCCCTGGGTTACCACTATAGCTGAACGATATTGATCTAACTTAGCTCAACTACCCTCTGCAGTTAATCAACACAGCAACACAACTTCACGTAAAAGGAGCCATGCTAGGGACGTTCTGTGCTGTTTGTCTAGCTTCTTTGATACGATAGAATGACCGCTGGTTGTTGGCGATTGGTGCTGACAACTCCGCAACAGCTGGCAACGAGTATGACGGTGCACGTAGCTCCTTCAAGCGCCACCTACTGAAGATTCCAGGAGAAGATTGATAGCTTTTTTGCTGGATAATGGTAGCTATGGAAATGAAGATTCGCTCAGCTGTAACACCCCTCCGGTGCCTAACTGCCATGCTACCCGAAGCATGGAGGCGGGGATACTGCCAGGTTGCCCAAGCCTAGACAGGGGAAGTCGAGAGGCAGAGGTCGGGTTCGAACCACGGATCTTCCGGTCAGTAAATTCGCGCTCTAGCCACTTGAGCCATCTCGCCCTCCCCCCCTTTACCACCGGAAAAAGCTGCACCACAGACCACTTAATGATTCACCCACAAAAATAATGATGAGAAAGATGGACCAAACACTTCGGTGAACAGTTCAGCTGGCTTCCTGCAACACCGCCCCTGGAGGCAGTAGATGCGAGCGAATGGAATGCAAACCTTACTGCCTGCCGGAAGAAGAAATAAGGTTCGAACTACCCATACTAAGACGTCAGAAGGCACCAGAACCGGATGGTTTTTACCCGGCACTTTTCGAGGAAGGAGAAGAACGCTTGGTTAAAACCTGTAAAACAAGCTGGCTTCCATCCTGTAAGAGGATGCATCGCTAACGTTTTCAATCTGTGTTCAGCTAACACACTTTCGGTGCCTAGTTGCCGTGCCACCCGAAGGGAGCATGAGGCCCTAGGTACTGTCAGGCTTCCCAAACGTACACAAGAGCAGGCGAGATGCAACGGTTGGTTTCGAATGATGAATCTTTAATCAGTTAGCTTGAACCCTAATCACAGCTATCTTGAGCTCCGACAGGTCTACGAACTCGAAGCTGCTTCCAACAACCAACAATGGTAGCCTTAACTTGGAACTACTCTTGACTGTTGATCGTCGAGCACTATGGCAGTCTCTGTGGAGCAAAGGTGTCCCCCATAAACTTTCAGCCTCCTTGAAAAATCTGTACACCAACTGTCGCGGCTGCGTGAAGGTCTACCGGAAGCGGTCGCCTGTGTTCATTACATCAAGTGATGCTAGGCAAGGTTATTCTGTTTCACCTTCCCCTTCGAATCCGTAATTAATGCAACCATGGACCCATCTCTATTACCTTTGGGGTCGGGGTGCTCCTAGGGTGTTCGCTCGAGACGACATAACTCCTGGATTTGACGCTATTATAATACAGACCGTACTGAATGTGTATGTACTTCTGCCTCACGGTTCGGTATGCGCTGCACATCTACAAAATGTAGAGTGCCGGTGCAAGATCGGGGGTAGCTTCAGCACGATTTTGATCAAAAATTTAGTGTCAATAGCAGGCGTTACCCGTACCTGGCAACGTCCGTGCATCCAAGGTATTACATTCGATTTACAGCCGCCCATTCTACTTTTCATGGCGGAGAGTGGAACAGGCCCTCATTCACTGTGTCCCACTCTGTGAGTTCTGGTAAATAGCTCTTGCCCAGTTTTACCATAAGTGAACTGTGGCAGTCACGGCACAGCCGGCACTCATCTAGAGCCCACAGGTCATTCTACTTTCATGGCGGAGAGTTGAACAGGCCCTCATTCACTGTGTCCCACTCTGTGAGTTCTGGTAAATAGCTCTTGCCCAGTTTTAACAAAAGTGAACTGTGGCAGTCACGGCACAGCCGGCACTCATCTAGAGCCCACAGGTGAAGTAGAACCCTGGACGGTGAGCGTGGAACCACCTACTGCCTCGGACGTTTACGACTGCATATGTTCTCTCAAGTGCCACCGAGCTCCCGGTCCGGATGACTTTCCACCCGCACTGTTCAAAGACGGGGGTGAAGTCCACAGTCAACGCTTGTCCGATCTGTTTGTTTGCATTTGGGAAAAGGAGTCTATCCCAGACAACTGGGGAGAATCGGTGATAGTGCCCATTTTCAAAAAAAGGGTGCGTAGTGAGTGTGGTAACCACAGGAGGGTCAGCTTGATCCCGGTTGTAACAAGACTGTCGGAGTCAATTGTGCTTCGCCGCCTTACGGTGGCTCGCGAAATACTGACTCGAGAGCGGCAAGCGGGATTCCGGCCTGGTAGGGGTTGTGGTGACCAAATCTTCACACTGCGTCAGGTGCCAGAACAACGCCATACGTATAAGCGACCCACAATTCTAGTATTCCTGGATTTCCGAGGCGCATTCGACTCGGTTGATCGGTCTGTTCTTCTCGAGACGCTTGCCCACCAAGGAATGCCCCGGAAGTTTGTAAAC